TTCATGTATTGCTTAGCTTTTATAAAACATCTTCTTGCCCTTTTTCTCATTATGCGTCACAGAATTTTCAGATGTCACTTTCAGTATCCTAAGAAACACATTTCTGTTGTCTCAAGTTTCCTCTTAATCTGAAAGGAAACACTACAGCATTCATTGCTTTGTAGCAGGATTAATATTAAATAGCTGTTTATCATTCATTTCTGTGTTTCTAACGAAATTACCTTGATTTTAATAATTTTGACGGTTTATCGTCGCATCACGTTGAAACACCGGTTCCAAAGTTAAGTAGCGTCGATCCTGGTCAGTACGTAGATGGGTGACCGCTTGGGAATACCAGGTGCTGTAAGCTAGGATGAGCGTGTCGTGTAATGAATAATGGCTCGGAATTGTTAATCGGAGAGCCGAGTTCCAATTCCAGTTCTGTTCGCTATATTCACTTACGCGCAAAATACCTTTGAGAAAGGTATGAATCCACCTCTTCTCCCCAGCTATGGGTTAATTAGTAAGACATGTATCATTAAATCTTTATCTCCAAAAAAATTCTTACAATATAAAAAATATTTTCTGGGTTTAAATAACCTGCAGGTGTTTGATAAGCAGTAGAAAATGAATACATCAATCAATATTCTTGAGAATAAAGAAGAAAAATCGCATAGAAGTGTAATTTCGGAGTGTGTCATTCTTATATGTCGCGTACTTCCTCGTTGTCGATTGGTCAGAACATTGGGGCTAAGTGTTTATATTTACTTCTTTCTGAAGTAAAGTTGAAAAACAGGTTTGATAAGCAAACAGTACATACTTAGACACTACAACGGTGCATAGCGTGTCTCTCTCCATCCGTATCGTCTTTTTGCGTTCAGTTTCGCTTGAAGAGGTATGAAATCATCTCTTTTCTACAAAAGCTTTGAATCCATATATAGCAAGCCAGATTGAGTTCTATAGCCTTGGCTGGCAAATAGGCAAAAGGCTAACAACACCACCCCATAAAAACTATTTGCTACAGCAACTGCATTTGCAACGACTAGCGTGGAGAAGGCCGTCACACTATACGCCACTGTGAATGCCACAAAACTTATATCATTGCATATTTAATACAGGGTTCTCTTAGAAACTAGTACCGATTTTTTAATTAATGCTAGGTTTTACGGTGGATTTTAATAGGTAAAGGACGGTTGCGTACAGTTGTGTACTGGACAATTGCGTACCTAGACAAATGTGCTCCTGGATAATTGCGTACCTAGACAAATGTGCTCCTGGATAATTGCGTACCTCTGATGAGTTTTTAAAGTTACATACTTTCTTTTCTTAAGAGTTGCTAATTGCAAACCAACTTTTAATTATTCTAAACAAACAAAAAGGTAATTAACATAAATTTTGAAGGAAAAAAATTAAAGAGTTGTTTAATATAGAAATGTGCACACCAATATCTTTAATTACTCTAAACAAACAGAAAGGTAGTTACCATAAATAAGAAGAGAGAAAAATGTCTTTTTTTTAAAGCAAGAGAAAATTAAGCTAGCAGTTTCAGTTAACTCCAGCAGTGCGCATCACAAACATCTCGTAGATTCTGGATTTTATAGATTATATTTTTATTTAGAACCGTTGGCTAAGTTCCGAAAATCAAACCCTGGTGTAAAAAAATTTGTGGACGAGGAAAGTTACAGTTACCATTATCATATGCAAAACGCCGATAAAACAAAAACACACTGGCGATGTGTAGAGAGATCTTGCAACACTGTTAATCTGTCATTGCATTTTAAACAAAAATAAACTTTTAATGTTTTTAATTTTATTCCTTTTTTTAAAAAAATTATGATTACTCTCCTATGTTTTTTTTCAAAATTTATGCTAATTGCCTTTAAAAACTTCAAAAAATTATCAGAGGCACGCAGTTTTTTTTTTTTTTTTTTTTAAGCATTACGCCCCGAGCAAGGTGTGAAGCCACTAGGATGCAGGGGGTTGCAGAAGATTTGGAGCGAGAGCAGATAGGAGTGATAGAGGAAAGGATGAGGAGAGGGATAGTGAATAGATCAAGGTAACTGGAGATGTCGATTGACATTACATTTGAATAGTTAAAGATTATAGCTCTCAGGGAAACAGTAATAGAGAAGGGTGTTCCACAGGCGAGAGGTGCGAGGTCTGAAGCTATTGGAGTAGAAGAGACAGTAACAGTGAAAGGGTGAAGGGATGCCAGCCTCGTAGGACGCTTGAATTCATGGTCTGAACCAGTGAAAGCAGCTCATCGGAGCAATTACCATGGTATTTGTAAAAAAGACAGAGAGGCGACGGCGCGTCTGTGAGAGAGCAACTGCAGACGAGATGCCAGATCAGGGCCAATTATATTACATATCCGCCTCTGGATCTTGTCAAGAACTCCGAGGTAAACAGAAGGTGCACCAGACCATATATGGCATCAATACTCCATGCAAGGGTGAATGAAGGGACGCATTTTTCCATGGACGCAATTGTCTTAGAACCGTAAAGGAGATTTTACCAAATGAGAAAGATGGGCTTTATGCTTCTTCGTGATATTTTATATCTTACGATGTAAATAGTGTAAATAAATGACAAGAAGTGAAGTTCATGTTGTAAAGTTGAAAAGATTGTATTGATGAAGAAAGCATCCTGACAGGAGTCTGTTTTTAAAGTATCAATTCTTGGGAAGAAACTATCCGCGTTTCCTTTTGACTAACAGAATACGAACAGAATGGGATGATTCATAATTGTATACAACGACAGAGTTCTAAAGAGGGTCTTTTACTAATCATCATCAAATACAAGGCCTAAGATCAAGGTAGCCAGTAACTACGTAGTTTGCATAGTGTAAGAAATGGCAAGAGGTGAAGTTTATAAAGATATACATGAGAGATAATGGTTAACCTCTGGATTGGAGTCTGTTCCACAAAGAAGCACTTCTTGGGAAGAAGCTGTCGAGGAATCTATTTCTTACTATTGAAATACGAAGGGAATGAGGATGATTCATCCTTGTGGACGTGGCATGGTGGTTCCAGCTGCAATGGTCAACAGAATGTGCCCACCACCACCACATCGAACGAACAATCAAACTACGTACTAACACCACCAAAATATCACCTAAAAATATCACACACACACACACACACACACACACACACTAGTAATTACTGGCCGCTCGTATCCGAGTATGCTTTTCTACTAGAGCGAATAATCGATCCCTGTTGCAGATGCCTGCTCAGGCACATTTATTTTTTTTCTGAGAGATAGCCCGTTATCTGTCATGATCATTTATCTGAACAATTGTTATTTCTTTTATTTCCTTCATTACACATATTATGATTATTATATTTCTTTGTATTTAGGCATGTATTGATTATTATTATTATTATTATTATTATTGTTATTATTATTATTATTATTTTTAATTCTTTCAACTCTTTTGACAGTAATTGGGTTTTTTACTGTATTAAGTTTATTTGTTTTTGTACAACTAGCCTGACGATTTTATCTTATTTTTACTTTCTGCTTTTTGCTTACATAAAGCTATATTTATCAACTTTGCATTTTGTACTCTCGTTAATTTTTTATCAATTGATAGTTTAGGCGTTAGTTCTGTCAAAAAGGCAATATAAATTATTTTATTTTATATTAAATAATGACTTCATAATCTCCGAGTATTTAAAACTTAAATCCCGATTTATATTTTCATTTTTCATTCTGCCATCTTTTTCCACCATTATGAAACATTTCAATATTTGATTTGATTTATGTACAACCCTTTTATAGTTTGTCTTGTTTAATAGTGTTATTGTTTATCTTATCTTTTATATATATCATTGCCATCACGCAAGGCTCTGTTGAAGGTGGACGTAGGAGAGGACGCCTACGTAAAAACTGGTGGGACAATGTCAAACAATAGACAGGTATGACTATACTAGAATTGCTGATGGCTGCGGTTGTGGAGGAGATTTAGTGTGGTTTCAAAAATGTGTTCAAAAGTGATTTATATATATATATATATATATATATATATATATATATATATATATATATATATATATATATACACACACACACAGGTTAAACATATTCCCCTAAATAATGAGTTTGTCTGATGATCGAAAAGGTCATGTCCATATATATTATATATATATATATATATATATATATATATATATATATATATATATAAAGAAATGATCATACATAGAATCAATGAGTGTTAATGGCGAAATCACTTCGTAGTAGAACATAATGTATGCATTAAAAATATTGTTAATCCATTGAATGATGTGATCCTTTTAAGATGTTTCTAGTGTATATTTTTTTAATTTAAGCAAGTAACGAAGATTGTCTTCATCATCAGGCTGTAGTTAAAACTTGAAGACGAAATAATTGTGTAGAGACGTATATATAAACAGTTAATTTTGATTCCATAATGTTTAGTGTGTGTGTGTGTGTGTGTGTGTTGTGTGTGTTACAAAATACATCTCTTCGAGGTAATGTGATATTCCTGAGTTCTTCGAGAATTTCAGGTCTCCCAACATTGTATTCTCTCCCCCAAGCGACCCAATCAAGACTGATCGGTCCCTGATTCTCCTTTACAAACCTCGACTCCATTTCTATGTTTGTATAAATATTTATTTGACGCCCCACCGTGTCAGGATGTGACACAAGGTCGGTTTTAACGCGGGGAACCCAAGTGTTTCCACTCGGGTCACTGGTCTAAGCTGGTCTTAGCTTGTCCAAGCTTGTCAGAGCTGGTCTAAGCTAGTCATAGCCGTGATACTACCAGCAACAGGGCCGGAGCACAGGTGCCAGGTAAGTATGTTGGTATATTTGACCGTTATGTGGTACCATATTTTTATACGTTTGGTCACGTTACCCCCAGACAATGGCGTTTGGTTTCTGTTCGACCGCTATCATTATATTAGTCTTGTATCCTCTAACCCGAGGTTGGCGATAATCTCATTACCGGAAAAACAATGCACAGGCTGTCGTAATTTTGTTTTTTCTTGGTTCAGCAAAGGTAATTTATCTACTTCATTCTTTTTTCTTTTCTTGGTAAACCCTGTCTGAACTTATATCGCACATACACACACACAAATTACAGCAATTAATATATATATATATATATATATATATAAAGCAGAGGATATCTGTCCGTCTGTCTGTCTGACTGTGTGATACCTTTTCACTCGAGATCCATCCAACCAATTTTGACCAAACTTGGTACATACATTGTACAATGTAAGAGATAGGTTCTTAGCATAAAAATCGATAATTTAAAAAAATCAGTAATCGAGGAAGTCAATCAAAAATCGATAAATTTAACATTTTGCCTCCGATTTCGTTTAAGCTCGGTATGTAGATTACTTACATAATGACGAGCTCAACGATACAAAAACTCCCTCAATTTTCAAGCAATCTAATACAAACTTCGCTCAATTGTAGCCAGCATTTAGTTGATTGTTTAACAGTCATTTACCTTGATGATTGAGTTCACCCATATAGTGAAGACTTGCGTAAATAGAGAAAAATGGCGATTTTTACTGGTTTCTTTCTTATTTTTCGTTGATCTTTTAACCAATGTTCATCAAACTTAACAATGTCTTTATAAATATATCCTCTTTTACATTCCTGGTAGCAAACTGACAAATTGAATTTAAAAAAATCCAAAATAATTGTAGTCTGAAGTGGGTCATCATGTTGCCTGTTTTACCCCTTCATGTTCTCGGCTAAGTTCGACTGAATAAATACAGACTACTTCTGTTATATCAGTAACTGCATTAATTCAAAATGATTTTTTTATGAAAATACTTTAAAGTAATTGAAGAAGATAGACTCTGTTACATCTACATATATATATGTTCTAAAATTTCTCATAGCTTGAATATAAAAACTATATCACTTGTTGGCTGTTGTGGAGAGTGAGGGCTTCCTTACTTTGCTGGATTCAGCAGCAGTAACAGAAATAATCAGCAAGTTACAACCGGAAGTCCCTGAGGACTTCCGGTTGTACCTTGATCGAGCCCTGTTCAGCCTCTTTTGCATTTCATTTTTGTCCTTGGCCTGGGTGTGCACTCTCGAGTTCCACGCAGTAAACCCGACCTTGTGCCACATCACATCTCATTGGGGAGACGAGGTAAATATCATACTTTTCCATTTCTCACTTTCAGTGGTCTCTCCCTTCGAAGGGCTACACGCAATCCTCGGTGCAGAAGAAAAGGTCTGTCTTGGCAGCATAATATTAGATTTCTCGTTCCTTGCAACGTGGAAACCGGCGCAGAAATCTCCCTTCAAAGTACTCCCCTAAGGAAAACTAAACACAACCGTTGCCAGAATAGACAATGCCTGTTCTAGCAGTTTCACATTCAGATTTCTCGTTCCTCCCGTGGGAACTAGTGGAGAAATCTCTCTCAACAAAAACAACTACGATACTCAAGTACGTTATTGACTTGGAAAAACCCATCGCCCCCCTCAAAACCCTAATATTTTACACACCTTTTTCAACCAGAAATAAAAGCTGTTGAATAGTTATTTTGAAGCTTTGGGTTTTTTGTTCATTCCACTCACACTGCCGAGCACAAACACTCATACGACCGAGGAAAATCCCTACAGGGCGTGGTAGTGGGGAGAATCTCCCACTGTCTGCAAAATGATCCTATAGCATTCGTCTCGAAATGTCACTAACAGTTGAGTTCGAAGGTGGAGAAGGGGTGAAAGCAGACCACTGGTACCCCATAACCAGCTGCTTCAGGTAGATGAATCTCGTCAGATTAGTAAGGCTGCTGTCATTCTAGGGGGAGGAAAACTATGATTTCAAACCTTCGCTCTCTCGCGATAATATTCCAAAGAGGAAAAGGCTATGGAAGTAAATCCAGATAGAAAATCCGGAGTGAAGCTCAACAGGTGGTTGGCTATCAACACTAACAAACTCCCGGAAACTCCTACAGACAAACCGGTCGCAAAATTTAACGCCTTTAATTCGTTTAGATCTTGTCGGTATAACCGCGAGTAGTACCATGTGCTTTGGACAGCCCATGGCTCCATATAGGCCCTGCGCCCTTCATCATGCACCCTGCACACCTAGAGAAGTCACGGAATTTTGGGCAAACAGCGAGCTACCGTTATCTCGCGAGATCAACGGATGGCTACCATATACTATTTGCATTCGTATGTCCATACATCGATATAATCCGATTTGCTTTAGGATTTTCTACATTTAGCGGATATCGTATTTTTCTTTTTATTATTCATTCAAACAGTACGCCATTGTCATAACAAAGATACTGCGACATGGCATCGTCTGTGCACGGGAGATAACTAGAAAATTAAGTTTAATGGAAAATTATCCCACATGCTTTCTATTTGCTGTGTTTTGAGTTACCTCCCTTGATTTAATTCATGAGAATAAAGATCACAATCAAAGCGATTAAAAGACAATTAAGAAGCCTGAAATCTCTTTTTGGCGTAACGCATTTTCTCTCCGGCTCTTATTTCCCGCCATTTTTCTAATTTTTTTCTTCTTTTTAAATTGGATTCTTTTTTGTGTGTCGCTTTATTCTAAACGCCAGGACGCAGGATAAAAAGAACGAAATTTCTATTCATCTCTCTCCATAGCTAAAGGGCATTTGGCAAGCAGTTGAATTGATGACAATTTTTACTGATTCTTCGAACTAATCAGACGTCATTTTTATTCAAATCTAATCGAACATTTCCTTACTTTTTTGCCTGAAATAATTTCAAAGCTTTCTTTTTCTCTCAGAATTCCTGATATTCGTTTCAATTTTCAAAAGTGGTAGTATTTCACCCACAAAGGTTGAAGAATCTCTAGCTTCTCAAGAAAAAGCGCAAAAGCGTGTAATTTTGACCAGGAAATTGTTCTGTTAATATAATTTATTAACCAATTAAAAGATTAATAAAGCATATAAAATAGATAGATACGATGGTCACAATCCTTACTGGAATGACTGCAAAAACGTCTCCTCCACAAGGATCTATGCTTTTTTTTCCCTTAAGCAATAAAATAGGTCACTTTTCGGTCTCAGTTCTGTTCTTTCTCGCATTGAAGCAAGAACTCTGCGATCGCTTGTTTGTATCCCCTTTTGTGTGTTAACACCATTCTTAATTTGTGATCGTTTTTTACTTATTTGTATTGTTTTGCCTTATTCATGTTGTTTTGCTTTATTACTGTTGTTTTGCCTTATTGTTGTTGCTTTGCTTTATTACTGTTGTTTTGCCTTATTGTTGTTGCTTTGCCTTATTACTGTTGTTTTGCCTTGCATATATTGTTTGCTTAATATTTTTTTGCCCTGTTCTTTATTCTTTCTCTTGTTATTATTTATTGCAATCTTTGCCAATTTTGTTTCTTGGACATTAGCCAATTACTCTACAAGAATGATTATACCTGCATTATCAGTTATGTGCCATGAGTGATACACGCTTAGGTGATCATGTATCTTTCGGTACATGACTGACGAGGCAGATTTTTTTCCCGCTGTAGGTTGCCATTTCTTTCTGCAGTAGACCAGTTGCCATCCTGTCCTGCTATTTTCCCATAGCTGGGGGGAGAAGAAAAGGATTCATGCCTTGCCCAAGGGTATTTGCACTCAATCCGAGCCGCTAATCATTACTCCGTCGTGCCTCCCCGCATTATATGTAAACTATATAGAGAAACATATGGCTCTTTAGAAAAAGCAAATTTAAAAAAATTTTTGACTGAGAAATGTTCGTACACATCTGAAGGTGGATTATTGTTTTAAGTAATATTTGTTTCTATGCGTTCTATGATATATTCTTCTTCTTCTTCTTAATCACCTTTGAGATGTGTACCAACATTATAGTTGGAGCCCTGTAATTTGATTGAAAAGCTTCCCATAGACTCATTGAAGGGATCCCTAATAGCCATACCTCAAAGAAATACAAAAAAAAAAAAATTATCACAAGTACAGCTCACACCTCACGAAGAGATTTACCTATGTAAAATATATATGATCTTCGGGTGTTTGTTTTCATATTTTTTTTTTTTTACAATTAATGGGAGTGGAGCTATTTGAATGAATAATAGAAAGGAAAATATGATATCCGCTTAATGTAGAAAATTCAAATTTTAAGTAATATTTGTTTCTTCTTCTTCTTCTTCTTCTTCTTCTTACTACTACTACTACTACTACTTCTATTATTATTATTTTTTTTCTTCGTAATAATAATTCCATCGGATCGATGATTGACTCTGGGGATTTTGGTCCTCCATGTGACATGGCTGAAATGAAACAGTTTATCTTACGTCGTTTAAGTGAAGCAGAACTTTGACTTTATTTTAAGCCGTTTAATTAAAGCATTGCAATGTTTAGTTATATGGTTTAATTAGACTAATTGTCTGGTGGAATTCATATTCCTTTGCACCTGGCTTCTTCGATAGTGCTCTGAAAATGTATCTACTTAGGTTTTCCGGTACGCCAAGCGCTGTCGTATATTCCATTTATTATGTCTTCAATCTTGTCAGTGCCGTAATCATATAAGACTGTTGGTATCTCTTTTACAATTCCGTCTGGTCTTGATGCTTTCTTTCTCTTCAATTTGGCCAGTGCTATTATTCTATTACTCTAAATCACTATGCAATATTTCTTTTGCAGGCTTTGTTATATTCGTTTATGATGATATTATCATAGTCATTGAGGGATCTAGCTTAGTGCTAGAGCATCCTACTGTATATTCACTGATTTTGTTAGTTACTATTCCTAACCTATTAGTGAACCTTTTTTTTCAGTATTAAGTAAAAACTAAATGGTGTGAGAAATGAAAAAGTCATATGGAAAATAGGATCTATAATAAAATGTATACTTACATTTTGTGGGATCGACAATTATCCCACGAGTGGGATAACTGTCGATCCCACAAAATGTTTAATATCTAAAAAGAATCACTAAACTGAGTTTCTTTTCCAGATTTTTAGATAAGACGTTTAGCCATCTTGATATCATTTGTCGTAAGAATCCCTGAAAAACCCTTTGAGTTATTCAGCTAGAAAGAGAACAGGCTAAAATCGTTTTGCGTCAGCCCCACTATGTCTTTCCAACTCAGCAATGTTGAGAGAAAAAAGATCATTCAGGCCTTCAGTAATGGTGCCAACATTCATACTCTGGCTTCCATCTTCAAAGTCCATTCAAGAACCATCAAGAAAATGGTGAATACGTTTAAAAAAGAGGGAACAGTGCAGAAGAAAACTGGATTAGGTGGTTAAATAGGAAGAGAGATCACCATTTCAACTTAGATCTAAAGTCATTCTTATACTTGAAAGTACAGTTCAATAGTGTTATAAAAATCTTGAAGAATTCCAGTAAGATATCTTTAATCATTTCTAAGATACAACGATTCGAAGTTTAATCTAACAGTTGGACAATTTTGCTGTTACACGATTTGGATAATTTTGCTGTTACACCCGGTATATATGAATGCAGTCCCAGAAAGTCTATTTTTGTATTTTTACCAAGACAAGTGAGTAATAGAATTCGTTTATTAATACATGGTATTAATACAGGTGTATATATGTACATTATACAAGTCAAAAAATGATTTAGCTTTTGCTTTAATAATGGCCTTAATTCTATAGACTAAATTCTTTAGTAAGTCAACGTCCTTTTATTAACTTTCCTATTACGGGAATGCTTGTCCATTATCGCCCAAAGGTTTTCAATTGGATTGAGGTCAGGACTGTGACTAGGCCACTGGAAGAGTTGCAATTTACCCTCGTCGTGCTTCCTCTCTAGATAACGTTTATTCTTTAAGGCTTAGGATCGTTATCGTAGTAGAACTTGACGCGTTGACCTTGGGCAAAAAGGTTATTTTAGCAGAAAGCCACATTTGTCCATGGTACCCTCGATTTTGTACAAATTACCCACTCCTGCCGCTGAGAATGCACCCCAAAAGTTGATTATTTTATCGTTTTTAACAGTGCTCTTTGTAGTCACTGGAGTATTCATTTCACCTAGTGTACACCAAACACGTATTCGTCCTTCATATCTAAGAGTAAAGGGACTCTCGTCACTCCACATAACATCTTCCCAATCAGATTTAGTCCCGTGTAAATGAGCTTTGCAACAAGCCAACCGTGCCCACCGATTTTTTTTCCAGATACGGAAGGTTTCTTTTTTTATGTATTTGGAAACAATTCCTTTTACTTTAAGCTTGCTTCTCACTAATTCTTGAAGAAATCGCCAAACTAGCAGCTTTGGAAACATCTTATGCTGTTGCGAATCGATCTTTTTTTACATTGACGAACCAAGTTTTTATCTTCCCTGTCGTTAGTTTTTAGCGGTCGGCCAGATCTGCTACGTCTATTATATGTTCCAGTTTGATTTCTCTTTTTGATTAACTCGCGGGGGTGGGGCACATGAGTCCCTTCGATTAATCTTATCAGCTATCGATCTATTAGACAGACCAAGATCATGAAAAGTGGCGACTTGGACTCTCTCGAAGTCAGAACAATGCTTAGGCATGTTAATAATTGTAAATACAAATGGAATAAACTCTATATTTTTTTCATCACCATTTCTATGGGTGCATCCATTTTTTGCCTCGTATTGTAAATGTTTAAAATGGTAAAAAAATATATATAGGATAAAAATTCTTGCATTAATTGATAAACATTTTCCTAGAGGCAGTAATCTCAGTACAATTTTTAATAGAAATACCCTTAAATTAAGTTACAATTGTACTGAAAACTTAGAAATGATCATTAAGAAACATAATGCTAATATCTTGAGTAAACATTTATACCAAAATCAAAAAAATCTAGATACTAAAATAAAAAGAAATGAAGATAAGGAAAAATTATGGAACTGTAGGAATCCTCAAAACTGTCCTCTCAATAATAAATGTACAGAATCATTGGTTTTTCAATGCAATATTTCATCTATTGAAGATCGAAACATAGTTAAAATCTACATTGGATGCACAAAACATGACTTCAAAAGACGTTGAAACCAATATCAAATGTGCTTTAAAAATAATAAGTACAGAAATCAAACGTCCCTATCTAAATATTTCTGGCACTTAAAAGGAACCAATAAAACACCAACACTAAAATGGAAATTAATAAGAAGAGCTAGAGCTTGTAGATTAAATGACCCATGTCTTTTGTGCATACATGAAAAATATACATTATTTTCTGAAAAATAAAAAAAAAATACTTAATCAAAGAAATGAAATAGCTATTTTTTGCAGATACTGTCAAATATTTTCCTTAAATAATGATTAATTTTGAAAAAGAGATGAAAAATGAAACGTACATATTTATAATTGATCTTTGATTAATAATATTTAAATACGAATGTAATTCTAATATATTTATTTGTAAAAAATAACGTATAGTATATTAATTATTAGAAGTAGAAAAGTACTTTAAATTTGTAGGAATAGAGTTTAAATATTAAAAATAAGACTTACTCATATTCAGACGACCCTTTTAAGAAATCTTTGTGTATAAAATTATAAATTAAGCGGCCAAATAAAATACCAAAAACTTTTTATCATTGAAAAACCGCGAAAAACGGATATCATTGTTTGTGACCATTTATCCATACTCCAGCTTAACTTAACCTGATTTTGAAAGTGACTTATATTTGATACTAGTCTAGGGAAATTAAAACCTAACCGCTCCTTATCAAAATGTTTGAATTTTCCGTAACCTTAATTTAAAATATTAAGATTGTATGTACTTATAAATGAAGTAAATTTCTCAATAGGTTATCCCAAAAATCGCTTGAGAATGGAACGGAGCTATGGATTTTAAATATAATTTTATAATTAAAATTAAAAGTTTCGTTTCTGTTTTGAAAAATTGTAATTCTTGTGTAGCGATGGAACCATATTTTTAAAATAGAATATAATTATAATATATATATATATATATATATATATATATATATATATATATATATATATATATATGACAGAACCTATGTAGATATTAAAGTGGACACTGAGGTTAACAACCAGTGTCGACATTCTGATTCTTAATACTCACTACTTACATCTAATTATAAGGAAAGAGATTTCATTGATAAATATTTGATGTATAAAATCAATTTTTCATCATTAGGCCACGGAATTATCTATCTATCTATCTATCTATCTATCTATCTATCTATCTATCTATCTATCTATCTCAGTCTGTTCATTCTCTGTCTAGCTGTCTATCTCTCTCAGCCTGTCCATGTCTATCTATCTCTCTATCTCTCTATCTATTTGTCTGTTTGTCTGTCTGTCTAAGCCTGTTCATATCTATCTATCTATCTATCTATCTATCTATCTATCTATCTATCTATCTATCTATCTATCTATCCGTTTCTTCTTCTATGGGTAGCGTACCTTCATGAGATAATAATTTTTGTCTTTTTGTTATCTTTCCTAAACCTTACCACACCATCCATTTACTCAAGCTCACTAGGTAGAATATGAATTGCTTTCCTATGTCTTTCTGGTAAGTATCAAATTTTTAAAATCCTCTTTCCTCATTATGTGCCCAAGAAAATTCAGCTGTCTCTTCCTGATGTTAAGTATAAGATTCCTTTTTGTTTCCAATTTCTATAAAATTTCCTCATTTCTCCCATGTTCTGCCCATGTTATTCTCAGCATCCTTCCGTAGAAATGCTGAAGGATATCTAGCCGTGTTTTATAAAGCTATTTGTTTCACACATGTAAAAATTTCGTTTATGTAAAATGTTGCTCCTGTGAAAATACGGAAAAGTATCATCTTTTGGCAGATTCGAATGTGTTAAGATTAATTTAATTTTCCTTACATTGGATGTATTTTTTTTCGTTTTGATTTTTGGAATCAAATGAAATTCAATTGAATTAGAGTTACTGGCACCTATCCCAAAAGACTCCGTATTAATACGAAGCAACGGACGCATTATCCCAAAGGAAAGAATGACGCCATGTGTCCTAAATTAATTCTTAATCTGGAAAATTGAACGCTAACTCGCCGATGAAGGTCTCACCTCAAATAATTAACAAGGAAACCACTTTTCAGCGATCATACATAATTTGTCATTTCTTTATATCTGGAGGAAATTTGGTTGCAACATACTTAGTAAACTAACCATAACACAATTCAAGTAAAAATGGGTCGACGAGACTATTTGGAGGCCGTCGATTGTTGTGCTAGCACGAAGTTCCAAGTCATCGTGACTGAGGGGTTGAGCGGGCTGAACTTGTTCAAAGTATTGTTCACACCAGATTATACGCTCTTCCCCATAAAACTTCCTTTATTTATAGATGTTCGTGTATTGTGAATTTCTTTTTTTTTTTCACCATTTCGGTTTATTCTACTTTCAGACATCGTGCAAACATTTGTGTTGCTAAGTACTGTTAAATGATACATTTTAGATGCATCAAGGGTGGTCTTCAGTGATGCACTGTTCTCATCGCCGATTTCGGGTTTCGCATCATATCGGATCCAACAGCAACCCCCGACCTGATTCTAGACGAGTCAGGCCGCCTCCTTGAAATATCCGACAAACCTGCCCTAAAATATAGTTGATTCATAGTTAATATAATAATATTGAAAATATGTTGCATTTTTCATCTCAAATGTTTGTACGATATCCGAAAGTAGACTAAGCCGAAAAAAAAAATACTGTCAATTCACGAGAAATATTTTGAGCGTTCCCAGACCCCTAGAGAGCCATACTATGATTGATAGAAAACTATAATTTTAATTTTTAAAAAGGCATGTAGGATTGGCGCAGGTTTGTCGGATATTTTGGGTGTTTACAGAGAAATGCACAATATAATAATGTGTAACGCTGAGTAGATTAGTATTTCTGGGATGAGAATTATTGACGATCATACTAATATCCTCATATTTGTTGTTATTATCACAACGTTTCTGATGTTGTATCATCCAGCCTTCTTCAGGTGTCCGCCAATTCAGGTAGCCTTCAGAAAAGCCCGAACTGAGTGATTTATTTAATCTACGAGGACAGACACGGACAGCATAACGACGACACTAGGGTTCTGTTCGAAATTCCCTGAAAGTTAATCGGATCGACAAACAACTGTAGAAGGTCGGAGAGCACAACGGTTGACACGTTGTGATAATAAAAAAGATGAGGATATTAGTTCGAATGTAAATATTCACGAATCTGTGTGGTTAGCATCTTAGGTTTCCGACTGTCAGACTCTGGATCATAGTCGATCTGTGAATGAGGGGGAGATGAACCTTGCAAGTCACACTGTTGGGAAGAGCCCGAAAACCATCCTCAAAGGTTAACACAAGCCTTGCGAGTGAAAATGGGTAGACGAAACTGTTTGAAGGCCGCCGATTGTTGTGCTAGCACGAAGTTACAAGTCATCGTGACCGAGGGCTTGAACGGACAGGACTTGTTCAAACTGTTGATCACGCGAGATTATACGCGCTCCTCCATAAAACGTAACCAAGGTCCTTCTACCATAGTTGTAGTATAAACGGCAAGTAGGTTCTGCGGGTGGTGATCAAACAGAAATATGCTTGAGCAGTCGCCTGCAACAGGGATTAACTTGCCATCCTAGAAGACGGTCGTAATCGGAAATGAGACGCCAGCTATTATTACTGCATCACACAGACGACGAAATAACTTCGGCATCAAAGAAGACAAACATAGTTTATTTAGGCTGTATAGAAACATTAAAAAAATTGTCCTTATATAAATGAATGAAGTCCTACCAGGATTTGTTACTGGTAATCACAATCTCAACAACAAAAGAGACACTAATGACATCGCGTTTATAGAAGACAGAGAAAGAAAAACTCTGAGAAACAGTAGTAAAAGAAAGCGAGAAGAAAGGAGTAACCATTAATTAAGCAGACAGTGTGTATGGTTGTTAGCAAAATGGACAGCCCAAAATGCGAATTACAAAATGGGGATGTCAAAACCAAGGAAATACAGAATATTTAACTATCTAGGAAGTGTTTCAACCAACGACGGAATATGTGAAACAGAAATCCGAAGTCACATTGGAATAGAGAAAGATATCTTATAAAAGATAAACAATGCATTAAGAGACAAAAGAAAATAGAAACAAAGGTTAAAAAGCAGAATGCTGAACTGTTATGTAATATCAAACCTCCTATATGTCCGTGAAGGCTGGACAATCTCCTCACAGATGAAGAGGAGATTTCAAGCAAGAAAAATATGGTTCTAAGGATACTTAAAAAAAAAAAAGACACGGACGGAGCATGTTAGCAACAATGAAGCTTTAAGAAAAATGGGAACAAAAAGGACAATTAGGCATAGAAAAAGATGAGGTTCTAGAGAAGAATACTTAGAATTACTTGGACGGACAATTACGTACCGGACAATTGCGTACCAGACAATTGCGTACCTGGACATTTGCGTACCTGGACAAATGTGTCCCTAGATAATTGCGTACCTCTGATAATTTTTTTAAGTTACCATACTTTTTTTTCTTAAGAGTTGCTAATTGCAAACCAACTTTTAATTATCCTAAACAAACAAAAAAGGTAATTAACATAAATTTTGAAGGAAAAAATAATTTAAAGAGATGTTTAATATAGAAATTTGCGTACCAATTACTCTAAACAAGCAGAAAGGTATTTAATAAATAAAAGAGACAAAAATTTCTTTTTTAAAGCAAGATAAAATTAGGCTAACAGTTTCAGTTCATTCCAGCAGTGCGTACCACAAACATCTGATAGATTCTGGATTTTATATATTATATTTTTGTTTGGAACTCATGGAGAGTTCCGAAAATCAAACACTGGCGGAAAAACATTTGTGGACGAGGAAAATTACAGCTACCGTTATCATAAGAAGAATGCCGATGAAACAAAAACATACTGGCGATGTGTAGAGAGATCTTGCAACACTGTTTAAACAAAAATAAACTTATATATTTTTTATTTTATTTCTGTTTTTAAAATTTATGATTACTACCTATGTTTTTTTTTTTTCAAAATTTATGCTAATTACCTTTAAAAACTTTAAAAGATTTCAGAGATATGCAATTATCCAGGGAAGCATTTGTCTAGGGACGCAAATGTCCAAGGATGCAAATTTACAGGGACACAATTGTCTGGCACACAAATGTCCGGGTCACAAATGTCCAGTTCGCAAATGTTCTATAACCGAATAACATGGACAGAGCATGTAAGTAACAAGGAAATTTTAAGGAAAATGAGGACGAAAAGGACACTTGTACTTAGAATCACTAGGAAACAACTGAAATTTCTGAAACACATAATAAGAAAAGACGGCTTGGAAAATTAGACACACACAAGACATTGAAAGTAAGAGGAACAGAGCGAATAACATACCTAACAAGCTTGTGTAAATGTCTGGCAGAACGGACTGGGGAGTATAGTAAGGGGCAAATATGGCTTCGAGTTACAAAGGATAGGAAGTTGTGGAGAGCCATTATTGCCCACATGCTGGAAAATTTCTTTAGAGATGAAGGGGAGACTCTAATAACAAAAAGCTGGCTCAACAAATAATTCCGCGAAATCCATAGACGGTGCATGTGAACAACGAGGAAGTTTTAAGGAAAATTAGACAAAAATGACACTCGTATTTAGAATCAGAAAGACGCAGTTTACATTTTCTGGACACATAATGAGAAAAGAGGGCTTGGAAAATTTGGCATTCACAGGAAGACAAGAGGGACGTAGAGAAATAACAAGACATACCTGGCGAGCTTGGATAACAGGATAAGGAGGGATAGTGAAATGACAAACATTGCTAAGAATTCCAAAGTATAGGAAGTTGTGGAGAGCCATGAAAGCCCAAGTTCTGAGGGAATCGGTGTATGAAAGAGAAAAGAATTGATTATTTGCTTTACGTGTTTGTTAACGTAGAAAACGTAAAAAGTGAAGTTGAGGAAAAGCGCTTTCGTAATGCGGGGAATAACTGCTTTCGATAAGGCAGGTATGGTAGAAAAGAATGACGTTGACTGAAAGAATTTTTATTTCCAAGGTATTTGTATTTTCATTGTGTAAAAACAAAGTTGAACCGAGTCGTTTGTGTGAAAGAAATCTGCTTCAAACGATTTTTTTTTTGTTTTTCTTGTTTAAATAGCTTTTTTTTCTTTTCTTTTCGATCTTTGTTGAAAGGCATTTTCTTTTTTTCAAAGTCACCCAAAGAAAAGAAGTAAGATCTTTACAAAACTTTCATTGCAAGAAAAACTAATTTTCATACGTACCCAGGAATTTAGACTGCCTTTTCTATGTCGTCTCCCTTCAGGACGTAAGCGGCCATGACTCGCTTTATATTACCGTTAATTTTTGTGGATAACAACATATTCTTGGGAGATAAAGTAGAGTAGTTTCCCTGTTGTCTTCTCCACGGTTTTGAATTCAGTTTTCCTTCTTTTGTACAGATTGCCATCCAAGGTTAGAAAACCTACTTTACCCTGCTATTTAGAGATAGGATAAGGAGGATAGATAAAGTTTGACACTTAACTTGAAAAGGTTAAAATTGCAATGTTCAGGAAAGCATTCACGCGGCAGCTGGTTTTCTCGAGAAAAGGCTGACTGGAACTTCATCTTTACAAATGGAATACGGGGGAAATGTGAGTGATTATTATTAGCTATCTGTGAATTGCCATGCATTAATGGAATGATACTAAAATGGCTTCCCCTTGCTTTCTTCGCCGTTTAACAAAATAAAAATTAAAAAAATCAACTCTTTTGCTGATAATCTTGCATTTTGACTTACAATTAATAATTAGTCCTTTCCTCTTGCTTTCTTTTACTAACTTACTGAAGATATTTTTAAAAAAGTTTTTCTTCTGAGTTCGTCATATTTATATCTCATTTTGTTAAGATTATGACTGGTTGGTCATTTTGTTTTACAGTGAGACTCACCCTTTACAAGGCTCGGGAGCAACTAGTGGTAAAGGGTTACGTTAGGATGCCATTTGTGTATACGTTTCGCTGGGGAGATTAAATAAATCCGACAAGAAAACTAATCTTTGTTTTATTCATTTTTCTATTTCGAACACGTTCTCTCTCCGCTTGTTGACTGTTTCTTGTGTAGGGACATTATTATTATTATTAATAAAAATAACAATAATAATAATGAATATCATAAATAAAATAAAATAAAACAAGTAACATTAAAATGTTGTTTAAAATAAATTAATTGAAAATAAAAAGTTCTCCCAGCTTGCAACAGAAACATTTTCTGACTGAAAACTTTCTTCGCGCCCCTCAAAAACCCCCCAAAAACCAAAAAAAAACAAAAAAAAAACAAAAAACAAACAAACAACCCCCCCAAAAAAAAAAACGCTGACTTCATTCTCTTCATTCTAAATGGCCGTTAGAAAGTCAAGACGTCCAGTTCCTCTCTTCGAGACATTGCTTGTTATAATACGAAGTGACTTCTCCCTTTTATCACATGCAACTATAAAACACTTGTAACTAAAGTATACACACACCAGTACACAAAAATCAAAATTGTATGATTTTAACTTACAATATTTTTTAATGTTATTTCCATGCATATTTTTTATTCCTGTGAAGTATGTTTTTATTTCCTGTGAACACTAGGCTATTTCTGCTGATATGATGTGAGTATTCCCACAGTTTCCAGAAGTTGTCATGGATTTAACTTTTGCAGACAAGTTAGGAGAGGTAAAAAACAAACAAACATTATAGTCATTTAATAGCAACAGCTAAGTATGCAAGAAACATACTGTTGAATTCTCATTCAAGAATGAGAATTTCCAGACTCTCTAAATAGGATTTAGAAAGAAATATATTCATTGTTAGATTTTCGAGTACATCCTGTTTTAATTACTTTTATCACTTCTTTCGTATTTTTTTTAAGTTTCATCTTTTCTTTCCTTTTACAACTTCTTTTTTTTTCGTTTAAGTCTTCGACTCTTTCTGTCATGTATCCCTTCATCATTATCTTTTTTCTCCATCTTTTTCTTTCTTTTATAGCTTTGACTATTTTCTGAGTTCTTTATGTTGTAGAGATCATGGCCAATATTCCAACCTTGAAATTATGCTTACCAGATATTTTAGAGCGTAACGGAAAATGCGACGCTGAGATCCGAAGACGTATTGAGATGGCCAAATACGCTTTCCAAAAGCTAGGCAGAGTATTACGAGACAGGAGGATTTCGTTGGTAACAAAGAAAAGAGTACTGAGCTGCTACGTGATATCTGTCCTCCTTTAGGGCAGCGAATGTTGGACGGTCTCCTCAAAGACGAAGAAGAGACTCGAGGCAACAGAAGTATTGTTCTATAGAAAGATGTTAAGGATACTATGGACCGAACATGTGGGCAACGATGAAGTTTTGGAGAAGACGTAAACAAAAAGGAAACTTATACTTAATATGAGAAAGAAGTAGCTGAAATTTCTGCGACACGTAATGAGAAAGAAGGGAATGGAAAAATTAATACTCACAGAACGGATAGAGAGAAAGCGGGAAAATGGAAAGCATTGCTGTGGATGTGGAGAGACATATACGCCTACGTCCTGAAAAAAGGAAAAGACGAAAGGATAAAAGAAAGAAAAATACGAAGGGATAAAAGAAAGGAGAAGACGAAGGGATAAAAGGAAAAAACGAAGGAATAAAAATATGGAAACAACGAAGTGAAAAAAAGAAAGGAAAAGTTGAAGGGTTTAAAACTGAGGAAAGGATGAAGGGTTAAAAGAAAGAAAAAACGAGAGGATAAAAGAAAGGAAAAGATGAAAAATGAAAGAGATAAGAGAACGAAAAAGACTAATGGATAAAATGAAAAAGACCAAGGAATAAAAGAAAGGAAAAGACGAAAGGATAAAAAGGGAAAAAAGATGAAAGAATAAAAGAATGAAAAAGACGAAGGGATAAAAGAAAGGAAATGACGAAGGAATAAAAGAAGAGAAAAGTCGAAGAGTTAACAGAAAGGAAAAGATAAATATATGAAAGAAAGGAAAAAATGAATTGATAAAAGAAAGAAAAAGATGAAGTGTTTAAAACAGAGGAAAAGATGAAAGGTTAAAAGAAAGTAAAAACGAGAGGATAAAAGAAAGGAAAAGATGAAGAGATGAAAAATGAAAAAGACAAATGGATAAAAGAAAGATAAAGACGAAGGTATAAAAGTAAGGAAAAGATGAAGGGATAAAAGAAAGAAAAAGACGAATGGATAAAAGAAAGGAAAAGGTAAGGTATAAAGAAAAGAAAAGATGAACAGATAAAAGAAAGAAAAAGGGATAAAATGAAGAAAAAGATGAAGCGATAAAAGCAAGAAAAAACCAAGGTATAAAAGCATGAAAATACGAAACGATAAAAAAAGATGATGTAGTGATAAAAGAAAGGAAAAGAAAAAGGGATAAAAGAAAGAAAAAGACGAAGAGATAAAAAAGAAGATGTGTAAAGAAAAAAAAGAAAAAGACAAAGGGTAAAAATGAAGAAAAAGATGAAAGGATAAAAACAAGAAAAAAACGAAGGGATAAAAGAAAGGAAAAGATGAAGGCATAAAACGGAGAAGGGATAAAAGCAAGGAAAAGACGAATTGATAAAAGAAAGAAAAAGATGAAAGGGATAAAAGAATGGAAACGATAAAGGGATAAAAGAAAGGAAAAGATGAAGAGTTAAAAAGAAAGGAAAAGATGAAGTGATAAAAGAGAGAAAACAAGGAAGGGATAAAGAAAAGAAAAAACGAATTGATAAAAGAATGGAAAAAGACGAAGGAATAAAAGCATGGAAAAAGACGAAGGGATAAAAGAATGGAAAAAGACGAAGGGATAAAAGAAAGGAAAAACAAGAAGGGATAAAAGCAAGATTATGCTAAAGGATAAAAAAAGGAAAAGACCAAAGGATTAAAGGAAACGGAAAACGAAGTGTACAAGAAAGGATAGGATGAAGGAATAAAACAAAGGAAAAGACGAAAAGATAAAAGAAAGAAAAACAAAGGGAAAAAGAAAGAAAAAGATGCTAGAATAAAAGAATAGAAAAAACGAACGGCTAAAAGAAAGAAAAAGACAAAGAGATAAAAATAGAAAACGAGGAAAGGATAAAAGAAAGAAAAAAACGAAAGGAATAAAGGAAAGGAAAAGATGAAAGGGATAAAAGAAAGAAAAAGATGAAAGGATAAGAGCAAGGAAAAGACGAAGGGATAAAAGAAAGAAAAAGACGAAGATATAAAAGAAAGCAAACGAGGAACTGAGAGAAGCAAGGAATAGACGCAGTGATAAAAGAAAGAAAAAGACGAAGGAATAAAAGAAAGAAAAAGACGAAGGAATAAAGGAAAGGAAAAGATGAAAGGGATAAAAGAAAGAAAAAGACGAACGGATAAAAAGAAAAAAAAAGACGAAGTTTACAAGTAAGGAAAGGATGAAGGGTTAAAAGAAATGAAAAGATGAAACGTAAAAGTAAGGAAAAAATGAAGGAATAGAAGACAGGAAAAACGAAGGAATAAAAGAAAGAAAAAGACGAACGGATAAAAAGAAAAGAAAAGACGAAGTTTACAAGTAAGGAAAGGATGAAGGGTTAAAAGAAATGAAAAGATGAAACGTAAAAGTAAGGAAAAAATGAAGGAATAGAAGACAGGAAAAACGAAGGAATAAAAGAAAGAAAAAGACGAAAGGATAAAAGAAAGAAACAACCAAGGGATAAATGTAAAAGACCAGTAAAAAAAAAGAAAGAAAAAAAGATGTAATTATGAAAGAAGAGAAAGACGAAGCTTTAAATGAAAGAATAGGAATAAATTACCTGGAAGGAAAAGAATGTCGTAAAAGGTGATATTTGATGTGAAAAATAACTGGTGTTGTTATGAAAGGAAAATCAAGCTGAACCATTAAAAAAAGGAATAAATCGAATTAATCTAAGATGCTCCAAAACGAAGCTTAAAAAGGAAGAAAACGACGAAACGGTAAAGGGAAAGATAAACGGTCGAATAAAAAAATGAAAGAGAGTTACAATGGATAGAAATGGAAAGAAAGACAATTAAAAAATAAAAAAATGAAGGAAATAAGAAAGAAGAAGAAGAAGGAATAAAAATCATGGAAAAACAAAGAACGACACTTAAAAAAATGAAAAAATGAAGGAAGAAAGAAAGAAAACGAAGGAGTAAAATCGACATAAAACAAGGTGTGAAAGAAAGAAAAAAAGGAGGGATAAATGAAATGAAAAAAATCGGGTGTTTTGAAGAAAAAATAAGCGTTGAAAAGAAAGAGAATAACAAATGAATAGAGATGGGAAACTGTTCGGGTGAAACATAAAAAGCAAAATGTTAAATGAAAGAATTTATGAAAGGAAAAATGAAGAACGAATAAAAGTGGAAGAATTCTAAAAGAAAGAAAAGACGTAGCTTTAAAGAAAGAAAGCGAAGATGGGATTAAAGAAAGAAAGCGAAGATGGGATTAAAGAAAGAAAGCGAAGATGGGATTAAAGAAAGAAAACGAAGATGGGATTAAAGAAAGAAAGCGAAGATGGGATTAAAGAAAGTAAAGAAGGGTATAAGTAAAATATGGTCATATCAATGATTGAAAAGTACGAAGAGCTGACAAAAATGAAAGATGATGATGAAAAATCTCAAGCATAAAAGAAAGAAAAAGAATGAAGGGAATAAAATAAGAAAAAAAAAGACTAAGTGATAAAAGAAAGATAAAACGAAGGGATAAAAAGAAAGAAAAAACGAAGAAAAATACTGTAGAATGCGTAATTATATAAAAAAAAATGTGAGCAAAATGATAGAGAAGTATTAGGTTGGTGCAAAAATAATGACGTAATAATGCCGTTTTTGACGTTAAAAAATACGTCAAAAACGACATTATTACGTCATTATTTTTGCACCAAACTAATAAAAAAACAGTCTAAGGAAGAAAAAGAACAATGCAAAGAAGTAAAAGAAGAAGTGATAAAGAAAGAAACAAAGAAAAAAAGAATACGTCAGAGAAATGAAACACAAAGCGATAAAAAAGAAACAGACGGAAAAAGAAAAAGAACAAGACAAAGGAGTAAAAGAAGAAGTGATAAAGAAAGAAACAAAGAAAAAAAGAATACGTCAGAGAAATGAAACACAAAGCGATAAAAAAGAAACAGACGGAAAAAGAAAAAGAACAAGACAAAGGAGTAAAAGAAGAAGTGATAAAGAAAGAAACAAAGAAAAAAAGAATACGTCAGAGAAATGAAACACAAAGCGATAAAAAAGAAAACAGACGGAAAAAGAAAAAGAACAAGACAAAGGAGTAAAAGATGAAGTGATAAAGAAAGAAACAAAGAAAAAAAGAATACGTCATGAAATGAAACACAAAGTGATAAAAAAAAACAGTCTAAGGAAGAAAAAGAACAATGCAAAGAAGTAAAAGAAGAAGTGATAAAGAAAGAAACAAAGAAAAAAAGAATACGTCAGAGAAATGAAACACAAAGCGATAAAAAAAGAAACAGACGGAAAAAGAAAAAGAACAAGACAAAGGAGTAAAAAGAAGAAGTGATAAAGAAAGAAACAAAGAAAAAAAGAATACGTCAGAGAAATGAAACACAAAGCGATAAAAAAGAAACAGACGGAAAAAGAAAAAGAACAAGACAAAGGAGTAAAAGAAGAAGTGATAAAGAAAAAAAACAAAGAAAAAAAAAATACGTCAGAGAAATGAAACACAAAGCGATAAAAAAAAACAGACGGAAAAAAAAAAAGAACAATGCAAAGAAGTAAAAAGAAGAAGTGATAAAGAAAGAAACAAAGAAAAAAAGAATACGTCAGAGAAATGAAACACAAAGCGATAAAAAAGAAACAGACGGAAAAAGAAAAAGAACAAGACAAAGGAGTAAAAGATGAAGCAATGAAAGAAAGAAACAACCGAAAGAAGAAAAAGAATAAAACAAAGAATTAAACAGAGGAAATAAGAAAAGAAACTAAATGGTTCAATTATAAACGATAAATGCAATAGCATCAAAAAAGGAAAAAAAATAAAGAAGGAAAACTGGAAAGAATAAAGTGGATGAAAAAAAAAA